ACTCGATATAAAGGGGAAAGACGGAAATGTATATTTTCCGTACAAGACAGACTAAGTCAAAAAGATGCTTCATTTTGGAGAAGAAACTAGTATGAACAGATCTGAGCAAGGTATATAAAAATCATACATTGCAAGAGGAAGGTTAGCAGGGATGATTCATTTATATTTCTTACAGCAGAACAGTTAAAGTATGCGCAGGTTCAAAACAAAGGGGAGTTTATTTTTCATGTGGTGCTGGTGCCTGAGCATGTTCTGTAACTGATTACAACAAAATGCACTGAAGCCAAAGTAATATTGATGGAACTGAATGTTCTTGAAGAATGGTGAGATGCAACATCCTGCTTAGGAGGTTTCTAAGCTGTTTATTGCTGGATATTGGGAGGACATAGCCAGGGAAAAAGTATTGTAGGATGCTAGCCCTTTTTTCAAATGTTCTTTGTCAGAGTATTTTGTGGTGGTCAGAAACAGGATACTGGGCTAAATCAGTCTTTGATCTACACAGTATTGCATTTCTTCTGTTCTTAAAAATAAATGCCGTGTAAATGTGATTATGCAGGCAAAGAATTATTAATACTAGCTGGAGATTAGCTCCAGGAAATTATCTCCAGAAATAACTTTGAACAACCACTTCTGTTTCCTCCAACATAGGATCTCTCAAATTCCCAAGCTACACTCCTAACAAATCTTATGGAAGCCAATCTTCTGCTTTGCTGAAGTAGAAGTGGAGGTCCTTCACACAGTCCATAGTTGAGTTATGGAGTAGTTTGCTGTAAGATGTTGCAGATGCTGAAAATGTTTAAGTGTTCCTGGAGAGAACGGCAGTTCATGGAGAAGAAATGGCCAGAATATTGATAAAAACACTGAAAAAAGAGTAATGTCTAAATTCGATTAGTGGGAAACCCCCACCCAAAACCTGGCTTATAAAGTCCCTCAGCTGTTGTTAGTTTGAGGCTGGAAAGAGTACATACAGGCTTCCTTCTTCTTGCTTATTTGTAACTAGTAACTTAATGGAGGCATGAAGATTTTCATATTGTAAATATTGTCCTTCCCTTTTCTCTAAGTATTTTTTAAAAACGTAAGGAAAACCCTCCTAATTATTATTAAAGGTGAGCTTTCAGAAGATGCTAAATGCCATTATTTAAGCAGTTATATTAACTCTCCACTATGACTACTGTAGTAGGTTACTTCTGCACAAACTTTTTTAGTGAGACAGTGAAACATTTTTAAACATCTGCCATTCATATAATTTGTTTTGTATTATTTATTTTAGACAATAATTTTAAATTAAATTTCTTAGAAATTTTTGTAGAGTAATTTCCACAAAACAGTAGGAATTTCATGTACTTTCAGTATGAGAGAAGTATTATTTTCATTTTATGTATCGAGATTGACTTGGAAGCAGTTTGTCTCAGATTCTATACTTTCTGTTCATTATGAATTAATGCTAGAATTTCTTATTATCCAGCATCATTATAGTTTGTACTTAAAAGTGTTAGCAGTATAGTGTGGCCCAATCTACTGTACTGTTTACATAGTGAGAGGGTGGGAAAACTGATTTTTAGGAAGGATGTCTTAACAGTGAGCAGAGGTACTAGTTTAGGGGGATAATTGACCAGTCTATTTTGCAGGTGCTCAAAACCAGCGTAGCTAGGTTTTTGCACATGAGAATTTGTTACATTAATGTAGAAAGTTTGTTTTCGCTTCCCACAGTCTGTATTCGTAATGCCAGATTACTCTCTGAGCTATCCACTGCTGTCTTGGTTTGCTGTGAGCTACACAGACACACATCTGGTTTTTTGTAATGTGGGGAAACAAAATATTTAGTTGATTTTGAATCCTTTATTTAAATATTCTTCTCTTCACTTGCCTCATATCTTGTCTTCCAGATAGTAGTAACTTTTTGTTCCCTGTCTCAACCAGAACAATCTTAAGGGAAGATATTGAATTATTGAAGTTCATTAAGGAATGAAGGGTGTTATTAATGTGTTAAGCCAACCACTTGAAAGACACCTGTGAGGATAAACCTGATAAGATTCTTATTGTAATGCATAGAAAAATCTGGTTGTAGAAAGGAATGCTATGGATGAGTATCCTTTATTTAAATTTATGCATGATAATGGTATTAATGCTTTCTTTTATGTTGTCTTGTAATTCCTAGTGCTTGAGTCTAAAGAATGAACTAAAACATTTAACAACTTGGTGTAATTTGGTAGATAAATACATGTTACATGATCTAACTGTGACAATGGGAATGATTTTGTGAATACTCAGATGTTAGATACTATACTTAGAGCTGAACACAAAAGACATCTATAATGAGGCTGATTCTTAAAAACTCATGGTAAAACAACAGCGTATTTGTGGAACCTATTTTTGGAAACTACATGGCATAGTTTCATTGCTATAGACTTTTGAACAAGGAAATAATTAAAAAGTGTAAGAACATACACTCAGATTATAGCTGAAGTAGTGAACTGATAAGAAAAAAACATGTAGGTGTGACTTTCATTTTGGAATAATTTTAATTGTAATAGTTTGGTGGTTTTTGTTGCTTTTTTTTTTTTTTTTTTTTTTTTTTTTTTTTGTAAGAATAAACTCTTGTTCTGACACTTTCATCTTAAGCATAGCTTCTGTTCTATCTTCCAGGGAACCTTGAATTGGTTATTCTGCAATTACATGTTTTGAGGAGCTAATTCTTAACTTCCAGTGCCTTAAGGAAGGCTTAAGTCCTTAAAGTAGGAATAGCTTTTCTTCTATAGCAATCAAAGTGTTTTGTGTATGAATATGAATGCAGTTATATGTAGCAATTAAGTGCTGTTATTAGTATCTGAATTAGCAGCCCTGGAATATAGCCAGCTTGTGGCCAGGAAAGCAGCCAATAGCCTGGAGGAGAAATGTTTTAATTAGTATGTAATGACTGCTCTAGAGAACTCTCATTATTCTGGCAAGATGCAGTTGTAATTTTTCATACTACTTATTTGGGACAGTTGTAACTTCTATTTTAAAAATGTGGAAGGCAATTCATTGTACCTTTTTCATACTGGGGGGAATGAGTAAGAATGCTTGAAAACTTACTTGAGCAAAGTGATACTGAAAATTACTTGGATCTTGTGAATGTATTTTATAGCCACCAATTTCTTAATAGGATCAAGATATTGCAGCAATAATTTGCCCTACAGAAATTAAGGATTTTCACATGTGCCGTTCTGTTTTTATCTTAATTCTTTTTGGTGCTAAGTTTCTTCACAAAATATGAATACAATAGACTTTATTGAACTATGCATTCATGTGACGTTAAACTTCAAGAACATTCTTTTCATTAAATAATAAAGCTGTTCATACAGGACGTGCCCACAACGTCTCTTCAAGCTGTATTTCAGTAGGACACAAGAGCCTCATATTAAAGTCGTAATTGAAAGGCCTCCAGTTTCCATTAGGTAGATAAGTGGTAAAGCATGGACTCCCACTTCTGCAGTTCAGTCACAGTGCTGTTCTGATATGCTTCACATGAGGCCATTGTCCTTCCTTTTAACTGTCTGTTGTGTTGAAAATCGGCGGGAATGTTTCTTCTCTTTTAGGGTTTGACTGTCATTGTTGTAACAAAAAAAGAGTCAAGTGAGAATAAAGGCATATTTCTTTCATTAGGAAGCACGAAGAGCCAAAGTCAGCATGTTGTTAACTGAATGTAATTTGAGTGGAATGTTTTCACTTCAGGCTTTTTTTATATTCCAATTATTTTATTAGCAGTGTAAGCCATTAAAAAGTACTGTAAACTTTGATTTCACTAAGTAGAATGCTAATTGAATCACAGCCTGTGCTAACTGGCAATTAGGACTGCTGGATTTGTACCTGTGGATCTGAAGTAATTTAGTCTGTGACTTTATGCAAGCTACTTAAACTCTGTTACAGTTGCCCAGTTTCTTTACCTGTTTGTCCGCATGAATGCGGGGCACGTACCTGTCCATGTGGGATTGGATTCTCATAACCAGTAATTTCTGGTGGGCTTGTCTAGTGTCACAGTTGCCTTTGTGTCTTCTCATACTTAGGCAGGAAGGTTCAACCATTCCTTGGAACCTACATACCCCTGTGAATCTGATGATGGTGAGTCTTGTAATGCCCACTTAAGATTTAGCTGTCTTTTCTCTTGGCCTTGCAGGTACCCCAGGTGTCACAGGTACTCCATGATTCTTAGTGCTGCCCTGTAAGTTGTGCAAAGATGCTGAGGTCTGCACATGGTTGTGGTGCTGCCATTTACTTTGCGGGAAGGCAGGAAGCCATGGACATGTTACCTCCTAGTGTTTGCAGTTCCCTTTGGACAGTAGAACTGCAGTCTCTATATAGCTCACTGTGGGAAGGTTAAGTAAAAACATAAAGAGTCTTGCAGAAGTTGGATTTCTTGTTTTGTAACTGACAGGTCTCCTGGCTGTATGAGAACAGCTTACAAATTGCAGTTGGTATAATGTTGTCTTGCAACATCAGGAGCCATCTGGGCTGTAATACAGCACAGATCTCTTAAGTCATCTCTTGTTACACCCAACATGCATTTGAACCTTCCTTGACTGCAGAGGAAGAGAAAGGACAGACCTTTCATAGTCTTTGCCTTTTAGTCAGTGTCACCGTAGCCCTGCTCTTCCTAGTCTTTCGTGCTTTACTAGGCTAGTTACTGGAAGAATAATTGTGATTTTAAAAGAAAAAGTAAAAGTTATAACTACTTCTGTAGCTAACTGCGTTCTTTGAGCTGGTGAAGTCTAAATTAGTTGATTATGTAAATTGCTCAGGCTTTTTTTTACCATGGTAGGTAAATGTATTTTAAAATGTATTTACACTTTTTAAAAGTTACCCGATTTTTACCCAACTTCTATGTAAGATTTTATGCTGCTAAACTAAAAGAAATATTAGCTGAAAGGTAAGATTTTATGTTGCTAAACTAAAAGAAATACTAGCTGAAAGTTTAAATCACTTGGTCTTCAAAAATGCTGTCTTTTTCTATCTTGCAGCATGGGTGAGCTCTCTTTCTATGGGGATGGTCTTCTTCTGTTCTCCAATAGTCAGCATATTCACAGACCTGTTTGGTTGTCGAAAAGTAGCTGTTATTGGAGCTGCAGTAGGGTTTGTTGGACTCCTTTCAAGTTCTTTCGTAAGGTAAAAAAAATTTCTTTACCCTTGAAGTATTTTGTCTATTTAATGGTGTAGGGGTAAGTCTGATACTATCAACAGAATATGAAAGAGTAAGCAATGCTACTTTATCTGTTAGAGTAGGAACCTTGGCTTATTTGGTTTTGTTTTTCTCTTTCTAACTATGACTTGTGAAAACTCTCAAGTGGTACTTTCAACTTGAAAATAATTTCAAAAATATAACTTTATAACAGCACTCCCTATTTAACAGGAACCCCTGTATATAAACATATCAGCAGCAAGACTAACAAGACAGCATTGTCCTGAATAAACTTGTATGTCTCTTAATGTATTCTGTGCTTTAGCACGCAGATACACAGTCTTCCTTCCCCCATCCTGTCCCCTCAATTTGCTTTTGAAACACTGTTTTAATGTTGATAAATATGCAGTAGAACCTCCAGGAAGGTGTTAAGGTTCTAGTAAAATTTGCTGGTTTCTATTATTATTTGTCCTATTACCTAACACAGATAGTGAAAAACCTTAGTATAATGACATATACTTAGGGCTTAGTGGCTTTATAAAGAAAATCTCAGTTCTTGTGTTACTGAAGAAACTTTATAACATAACTAAACATTTTATACATTTTATACATTTCTGTAACTTTTGCAGAATAAACCCTAAGAAGTTCAAGAGCAGCTGATTTCTTGGACATGTCCAGTAGAAGATGAGGAACAGGAAATTACTCATTTATTCTAGTCATCAGCAGAAATTGGTTAGTGAAGATAGAGTAAGAAGTAGCAGGAAAATAAGCCACAGTAACCTGTAGTTCTCGATCTGCTTTTTACTCCACCCTTAGAGTAAGTGCAGGAACAACCAAAAGCAAAATCCAGAAGAGTTTCTAAGAAGATAAAAATGTATCTAGAGACAGGCTGGTGAAAATGTGTTTTCTGTGCCTGTACTCTGAACCAGATGAATGAATATCTATGCTGTGTGGCACTATGCCTGAGCTAATACATCTAGTTTGGGCATATGTTCTCTAATGTGGAAATTTATTCACAGATTTACAGGAAGAGAAGACAAATAGTTCTGATAGTTCTGTCTTAGGTACTGAGGCTAGTGTTTATATTTATTCTTGGAATAACTTACATTTATGGGGAAAAAGAAAGCTTTGTTACTTGAACAAGCTTCTGATTCTGATTTTGGTGTTTGTTGGTTTTTTTTTTTTTTTTGTTAATCGAAGTGCAAATATTTTCCTTCATTTTATTAAATCAAACAAAAAAAAAAACACACATGCACACACACCCACACACACCCACACCCCCCCCCCCCCAC